TTACCAATGCTCGTATCTTTGTAACCCTTCTATGGCAGCTCAGCCAAATAATGGATGTCAGTGATGGCAAGCATGAGAGAAGGGATGTGCCAAGGGAGAACCAATCTTCTCTAAGCCTATGTCCCCTCAGCAGTCGTTCCGATCTGTTCAGCTGGACATTGAAGAGTTTTAGTCAAATGTTTCGGTAACTCCGATAATTGTCCCAATAACAAGGTGATGCATGTGCAGAGGAGCCGGCGAAGCACCGGGTATTGTTACCGAAAAAATTATCTACTAAAACTCCCTAGTCTTGACGGAGAGCTCGTGCAAGAACTGGCACTTTCACTTCGCTGTTTAGATGCCTGTAAAAAGACTAGCATATCAATAGGCACAGGTCTGGGATCACTTCTCAGGTAGTTTTAAGTAACCCCTCCATAACCATCCATCTACTCTTGTAATGCATGCCAGGCCAAAAGGTAAAGATAAAAAACTGCAAAAACACTACGGGACAAATAAAAGTGTCATTGCCCTGAAAATTCAAATTTTGGATGTGGAAGAAAAAAAAGAAAGAAAATGACCTGCGATAGTTGGGATATGTTCTGGAGAAACAGAAAACTCGGAACTGTATTCATTACCAACTGCAAATGACCAAACTCCCTCGTGCAAGCAATGTATAAAAACGTGAATATACCAAAACACTTCATTTGTTTTTTGCAGGGGGGGGAGGGGGGGGGGGGGGGGGTGATGATGTTATTGTGTGAGCCCAGTTAGCAAACAAGTCAACACAGTCAAAATTAGGGGTGTCGCAAACTTTGTCAAATCTCGGAATTCGACCGGTTCAGCAAACCTTCATACTTTTTGCCAAGTTTGACGAAGTTCGACTTATGGACAGTGTTGCCCAGTTTCTACACGAGGATTCCAAACTTTTGGAAATAATTAGCTTAGGAAGTAGTTTATTTTATAATTTATAAAATGATTACCCATGTTTACACAATATAAAAATAAAAATAGGTACTTTTTGATGCTTCCGTTAGTAATGTTATGGTGCCTGAAGCGCGTGTCCAACTGGTGCGTTTCGCATCCTGAAGTGGCAACAAATCACGTCGCTGAGGCTGGAGAGTCATGTTGTCGGATGTTGCGGTCCTGGTGGTTGGTCGTAGAAATGCCGGCGAAAAGCATGAGTGAATGTGAGTGTCGCTGTCGTCACGGCGCTGCAACCTCTGGCTGCCAAAACTTCCGTGGACTGTTACACTGGCTGTAACACTGGTGAATGACCTGCAGCGGAACAGAAGTCTGCCACATCCACAACCGCTGCTGGGACACCGCCAGGACCCTGACCGGCGACAGCAAGACACTTTTACGACATCACCAGGTGGAAATCGAGGGACCACTATGATGGACGCGGTAAACACAATAGTTGGAGATGTGTTCCAGGCACCTTAGTAATGTGAACCAATGATGCAATACATTCAACAAATATGGAACTTGTCTTCCCCCAGGTGGTTCCTGAATTCTCCTGAATTCAGGAATTCAGGAGAATTCCTGAATTCGCTCCTGAATTCTCGCACATGCGCAAAGAAGTTGAACTTTTGTCGAACTTTTGAGTTTTGAACTTCGAAAAAGTCCAACTTTGCCGTACTCGAACCTGGGCAGGTCCGCAATATCTTTAGTCAAAATGCATTCCCGTTTTACAGAGATTCGTCATAGCCACATTTGTTTTCTGTGTTTCTATGATTGAACTGCACAAAGAAACCTAGCAACACTTCAACACCTCGGAAACTAAACGAGGAGGGTTGTCGAGCAGTGCAAACACTGCAGGCCGGCGTGCCTGAGGGTATCAAGGTTTGTGTTGTTTAATGTTTACTTAAAAAATAAATAGGAAAAAAAAAAGATGAAGTAAGCATTGCGAGTGCATTGCACGCGAACGTCCCGTTGCAGTACCTGGGCTATGTACAGCTGTCACAAAAAGTCAGTACCAAAAACAAGGCGAAGCAAAACACGGAAACATAACACCCCACTAACACCGTTATGAATAATTTCGAACATTTAGGCTTAAAATTACAAGGATTAAGGTTTTTATCACTCGCCGCGTTTGTTTACAGAGTTTGGTACAATGCAAGACAGTCACTGCGCAGACACAAACATTGCCCACGTTATGGGAACCATTTCACGTGAAGCATTCCAGCAAAATAAAAAATAAATAAACAGGAGGAAAAAAAAAAAAAAAAAACACTCGGAAAGCTTTGGATGTCAGGTAGCTGCACCGTGTTTAAGCCTAGGCCCAGGTGTTGCAAATTATTAAAATGTGGCATTTTTCATATCTTACCGCAACAAGATCGTATTCCAGAAACAATCACCACCGTCGAATGTACTCTGGGAAGTCGTCACTTTGTCGTAATGAAGAGAACAAACACAGGAAATCAATTAAACATATCCCGAAACAGTCTGCAACAACCACCAACACAATCCGCCATGTTGTACTCTTATCCAGACCGTTGCGCCACCGCGGGCGGACGGGAGTACTTACCAAACGCGAAAAACCCAGAATTAAAGGGATACCACAACAAAATTTCGGCGCTTATTTTATGGTCTATATGTGTTTAAAAGCAGTATAACATCGAGCACACCAATATATTGTTAAAAAAGTCACGAAAAGGAATTTTGAAACGAATTAAACGATTAGCAAAGAGCACCTGGTGGATGTCGCTAACGCCTCGTTTGTAACTGGTTTGTGATGCCCGTCTAGGAACCTTGACAGCTAGTGACGGTGAGTGTCTCGCTGTCGCCTCCGGCCACGACGAGAGAAGAGGAGAAAGAGGAACTCCCGTCTTTCCGAGAATCCCTTTTGTGTGTTCCAGAAGTAGCTATTGTCCCCCTAGACGACCTACGTCACGATTGCGTCAAATGTCACCTGCTCTAAGCTGGGCCTTCTCCGAGCGCTGGCTAGAGTGGGCCGTTTATAACAAAAAATACAGCCACCAGGCTCAAAATACAAATGTGTGATTGTCATTTACGGATATTGTGGGTCCTATTCAACCTATTTTTGAACACGACGGATATATTTCAAATTTCGTTGAAGTATCCCTTTAACAAACAAACAAGTAAAAGAAAAGCAGGCACGAAAGTACTTCGATATTTTTGCCTCCAAAAAATACCCAATCCCAAACTGTTTCGACAAAAGCAGTCCCGTTTGTTGAAACCATCCTGCTACAGTGGCTTGTAATCCTGCTACCGAGCTATAAATGTGTGTGATGCCAGACCAAGGAGGATAAAAGGGTACGAGAGGGCACAACGTCAGCCGCGTACCTCCACAAGCCATGCTCCCTCGACGCCTCGCCTCTTTCTCATTTTCCTCCTTACTCTCCTCACTTATCAGCCCAACATGACCACATCATGTGACCGTAGCTAGCCTTCATCTAGCCTTCGATCTGAAAAGGCCTACCGGACGTTGTGGTACAATCAACCGGGTCCATATCACATGTGCGAATGACGTTTTAGCGAACAGCGACATTTGAGCGAATCATCGTTTTAGCGAATAACGGGGGCGCACATTAACCCATCCGCCGCGCTGCGCTTACGCCGCTTCGCGGCGACAGTCTGTGGTGGCTCATTACAAAAATGTGAACTCATTTGGCCCACCCGAAAACGCCGCTTCGCAGCGTCCGACTATTCGCTAAAGTGTCATTCGGTGAAACGAGGGCGTTCACTAAAACGTCATTCGATCAAGTGAGTGCCTCCCCAATCAACCATCCATCTCACACGTGACATGTCACACGCACCGATCGCCAGAGATATCTGCGGTCACGTTTGGCACAATATTGTTTAAACTTTTGATGACTAGGCTTCACCAATATTGCAACGTGCCCCCTTCCTAGCACTTCTAACCTCCTTGTGCCAGACAGTCTTATGGCTACCAGGGAGCGGTCTAGGACAATCTGTAGAAAGCCAATTCTTCGACGGAAAACTGGTAAATGGACAATTCGTTGAATGGGGCAATTCGCATAGGAAACTTGTCGAAGCGACCCGTCCACAAAAAATATTCGTCGAAAGAAGTACAACAAAGTTGGAGTGATGTGCTTTTGAGCCCAGAAGGAAATATCGCCAAAATTCGCCGATTTGCAAATGCAAATATGATTATCGACATTGAGAAAAGAGAGACGATTTATAAATGAACTGCTTCCTCGGTGTAGCCTTTTTGTAAATTCGTGACTACATGATGTCGCTAAGAAATTATGTAGGTCAAAAAGAATAATTGCAAGTGAGCTTTTTCTATTTCCGTACAAATTTTGTCTTTACCAAGTTGTACAAAAAATAACTGCGAAAACAGGTTTTATTGTCTACCTGCAATAGCCGTGCCTTCAAGGCCGTCAGCCAACGTTGCCTTGCAGTCTTTTTTTTTTTGGTGACAAATCCAGTACGTTATGGTGGCTGTACCAACAGCAAGGTGGTGTTGACTCTACGCGTATTACAAGTGTATATATGACCAACCAGAATCGAAAGATTAGCCCTTCGCTCGGTCTTCCCAAATTCCATGATGATAAGAGTCGAGTGAATGCCTTCACGCAGAACCCGGTTTTTATCATTATGAACGACCCGAATTTTCACGATTCACTACCGACCCTTGTAAATTCTGAGAACTGAATTTGTAATCCTTTATTTTCGGCAAACAGGGTTCCGTTGTTGACCCCCAACATCCCCGGGTAACTCTAGACACCCTGTGCAACTCTTTTCGACATTTCGACCTAGTTCAACGAACGGGCACTTTCGCCCAATTCTCTGTTCTGTAAATTGGCCTAGGGCGAATTGTCCTTCTTTGAGTTGTTCGTCGACCAATGGACTTTCGACGAATTAGCTGAATTTGACCAGGAAGATGAGGGGGGGGGGGGGGGAGGGGGGGGTCGTCTTTTTTTTCTTTTTTCCCAAAAGAGAAGTAGAAATGCAGAATCATGCAGTTTTTTTTTTGTTTTTTTTTTTTTCGTTTTGTGCGAAGAAATTTATGATTCTCTACGAGAAGCCTTGCATCCAAGAAATATAGCTGCATTTATTAAAAGTAACAACAAAACATTCATGATTACAGTTCATCTTTTCTATTGCAGAAACAAGCTTGCCGCTGTGCATCCTTGAATGCTTTACATCCAAGATATTGGCTGCCTGCGTAAAGTGCCCTTGCAGCGGCCTTGCAACCTGCAAAATAAACAATCATCAAAGAAAAAATATTCACCTCCACTACCATAATTTAAGACAAGTCGGAAGACAATGTATCTAGAAGTATCTTCGCAAAAAAGTAAGAAGGCAGACAAGCTAGTTCAAGTTAGGCATTTAAAAAACTCTAAACGAAGAACAATACAAAAAAGTAAGCCCACACGTCTCAATAATGGGATATGTAGTGCATGTCCCCCATTTTCACATTCCATGCCTTGGGCTTCTAACGTGTACCTTTTTATTTAATTTGTCCGAGAAAAAAACAGGAAAGCCCCAGGGTGACTGAATTTTCTCAAAATATTGCAGTGTACAGAGTCACCTGTCGGGGATCAAACTGAGAGCCTGCCAGTTTGTTGCTTGTGGCCATGGTAACTCAGGATGTTTACGAGCTCAGCCTTCGAATAAAAAGTGCATTCCTCAAACTCACCGAGCCGTAAGGTATGGTGGCCTCAAGCCATTGGGTGAAACTCGGTTGCGTTCAGTTTCAAGCCACCCTCCTCTCAAGCTATGAATGTGTGCAGAGACAGTGCCGAGAAGCCATACACAACGCATCCCTCCCGACGCTGGCTTTTATGTTGCCGAGCAACAGTAAGGTTCACTAGGCCGCAAATGTTCAGTGACCCCAGAAAATGGATAAAGGGTGTTTTTCAAAACGTGAGCATCGCACAAGACTCTCTGGTATAATTTTAACCTTAAAGGCAGATGTACACTTCCCGCTTTTGCTTGCCTCCTCCTTTCCTATACCCTTTCCACTTTTTACCTTGCCCCAGCTTGGCTAAAAGCTTAGGAGAGGGGAGCGCTAAGAGGATTACATTCCCTGGCAAACAACCGAGGTTGCACGTCGGCTTTTAACCTTTTAACACTGACCTTTTTTCTGTGCGTCGCACACAAAAAATATTGATCATATTAATCTCTGCCAAAGGGCCCATTTGGGGAAATTTGAGAATGTTTGGTAAAATTAGTGATATCATAGGTACGGTGTCAATTAGAAACTTGTTGAGAATCATTGAAAACCACTAAATCAGCCTATTTAAAAAAAAAAATATGAAAGGCACGCACAGCATTTTCATGCATCCCGAAAAAACGCTCAATCTGGATGAATTTCTAGGTTTTGGTTTCTTGTCGAAGCACATCTTTGTGCAGGCAGTCCTGCCTCCCGCAGTCGAAGCACGCAGCTACCGCTTCACCTCCTTCGTAGGGAGGAAGGAAGTCTGGTGCACGTGCATTGCACACCTCAGCCACGGGGGGTGGGGGGGGGGTAAAGCCCCTGTATCCTGGGAAAAGTGGCGCCATTCATTGTTGTGGAAATGCTCAAGAAACGTGCCGCGCGCCACTTCTGGGAAGAACATGGCATCTGAAATCTAGCTCAGTGCTGCGCTGTGCAGCCATGATCTCCCCAAGGGCTGCACGTAGCACGTGCATAGACGCACCTTGCGGTACTTTTGAAACATGCAGGGGCTTTGGGGGGGGGGGGGGGGGGGGGCAGGACCGCTGGAGCAATGTGCTCTGAAAGGAAACCGAAACCAAGAATCACATCCAAATTGAGTGTTTTATTTTTATGGAATGCAATACAATACAGCATGTACCTTCAATATTTTAAAAATAAGTTGATTTATTGGTTTCGATGATCCTCAACCATACCCGACCATACCTATAAATTCACAAATGAAAAAGTTAATTACTCGAAAGTAATTAATAAAAATGTTAATTTTCCCAAATGAGACCTTCGGCTGAGACCAATAGAACATTCAACATTTTTTCTGCGCAATGCACACTTTTCATAGGAACAATTTGGCTCACATTTTGAGAAACACGCTGTATAAGGGATGGTATAATCCGGTCACAAAGAGAATACTCGATTGAACATAATCAGTACAGAAACTAACCCGTTTGTGTCAAACATGAGGAATAGGAACGACACCTTCCCTAAACATAACTAAAGGTGAAATTGGCGGTGCAGATGTTCGTGCAGCACAGTGACATGCTGTCAAAGCTAGAATAGGTTCTGCAGTGCCATCAATGCTACTTGTGCAAATGCACGAGAATGAAATGCAAGACAAAGCGTGCTCGCACAGCACCATGGAAACTAAGCTTTGACAACATAGCACAAAAAAGCCGATGTCGAGTATACCGTACCGGGGGTGTCCTCAACTCACTTTCACTGAAAACTGGGTTAATCAAGACATGGGCGCTTTTCAGGATCGGGCACTTAACGCATAGTTTGCAGGATTCCCAAGTTTGCGAAATGTTAGTAGTGGACGGTTGAACGAAGTGGGCGCTTCCGGGGCAGTTTACGGTAGTCTGCCTTGAAATGTGGCAACCTCCGTCTTCACCGCAGAAGCGCAATTTGGCCAGTGCAATATGGCCACTAACCTAGGGTACCCGAATGTGCATTGTGCAGTAGTTATTGCACAGATGGATACTGAAGCATCGTCTGCTCAAATTCAAAGCAGTGGGAACTGAAGTCCTGCCAAGCCTACGGCGCTAGCAAGTTTATATGATGAATTCATCAGACAACTGCAGCTAAGCTACTGGGATATCAATACTTGAAAGGATAAGGTGTTGAGGACTGGAACGGAAACAGGACCTCTTCTGAAAGAAGTCCCGTTTTCGTTTACGTCCTTGGTGTTTTATCCTTTAATTCAAGTATTCATAGCTATTCACCAACACGCTCGTTTTCAATTATTGCACCTGAGATCCTTACTCATCAGCTTGTCCTTGTGATGCTTGCCGGTCTTCTTGTCGCACACAGAGTCGAGGCAACCGAGGAACTTGGAGTCGCAGTCGTCCTTTGTGGCTAGGCACGTTCCGTAGCAGATGTCGTGCCTGTTGCAGCAGGAATTCATGTCCTTGTGTGGCAGCCCGCTTTCATCAAACTGCGGAGGGGAACATCACTGAATTCGCATTGCAAAGCAGAAAAGGAGTACAGCCAAGAATATCGGGGGTAAGTTTAGATACATACTTTGAGACCGTAGGAGCCGCATCCATTGGGGACGGGCTTGTATCCAGACTTCGGCTTTGCAAGCAATCCTGTAGAAATCAAGTGGATTATTTACAGTTGTTTTATATATACATGCATGTGTATATATAGTCCAAGACAAATTTCTGCTGGATGACCCAAAACAACGATAAAAACTAAAAACGAAACGAAGTGTTTTTCAGTAGTCCCTCTGACCTTGAATAAATTCGTTGCGTTTGCAAGTTTTTTTTGTTTTTTTTTATGTATACATATTCCTAAAGTTAAAACCCACCAACTAAAATTATAATAATAATTAAAAAAATTAACTTGCAGCGCCTAGGCACTGATTTTTGCGGTGCAAGAAACGTGCGACCGCACAGTCCCGCACTCACGTGTATGCGGCTAACCGAAAACACCAAACTCCGTGGACGGTCATACTCATAAAACCCCGAGACAAGAACAAAAACACAAAGAAAAGGAGAACACAAAATGTTGTGTCGTCCACTTTTCTTTTTATTTCTGTTTTTTTTTTCCTTGTCTCAACTCTGTCAACGGGAGGTTGGCTCACCAGCGCTCCAGCGCACGGGTTTTGCGACCTTTCTGCCAGCCACGCACACCTCCTGTGCTCCCACTTCTCATAAAAGTAAAGCATAAAGATCATCCGATAAGTGCGCAGAAGAATGCTGTAGACCCATTCAGCGGGAACCTTGACAAATGGTTAAAAATCACAAGAATGGGCCAGCGGAAAACATTTCGTGTGCCCATGTGAAGGCGTCACTCACGCAAGCCAGGGCAACACTCACCGTTGGGACACTTGAAAGCGCATTCCGCGTCCTTGGATTCCTTGAGCACACCCTCGACAGTGTTGAGACCGTACCGGAGGGTTTTGAGCCCCAGTTTCAACTCGTCGAGAAAGCCTTCGGCCTTGTGCGTCACATGCCGCGCGAAGTCGAATATCGTCTGTCCCGAGACATACCAGGTGGCGATGGAAAACACCACGGCGATAAGGCGATACCAGCCTCCCGGCCACGATATCAGCATCCCGGAGGCAGAGATTACCACGCGAGGGAAAGAGGCATTTTTAGAAATGGGCAGCAGTGCAACAACAACGTCGACGCGCAAGGGATGACGAGCCCATACGCGGCGAAAGGTAGCGGTAGTAACGTTGGCAACAGGCAGCATGGCATTCTCCCGGATTGGATTGGATGCTATCCTTTTTGTTTGCTTCACTTGATTTTAGTTTCGGTTTTAAGTGAATTTTATTGTGTTATACAATTTAGGAGGCCTCTGTCGTCCACAGCAAAGTAGATACTTCTTTGGCTCCACTTTCCTCGCACTTGGGGTGACCGCGTCCGTAGGTGGGGGCGGGTGGGGTCAATGGGGGAGTTGCTATTTGCACAGCATCTATCGGGAAAAGGGGGGGGGGGGGGGGGGGGGCGTTTGTTTTTTTACGTCACGCATTTCTGTCGGTGATTTTTTTTCTTCGCGTCTTGTTGGCTATACACGTTTTCAAGAAAGGCTCCTGTGCGGTGCCATAAGCTCTGGGCAAGGTTTCGGAGAGGTGCCACCGGATGGATGGATGGATGAATACAGCTGAGCCCTTTGGATCGGGCGGTAGCTTACGCCACCTAGCCATTTTGTTTTACCATTTAAGCTTAGAATATTTAAATGTGAAATCTATATTCACTCCGCAGTGCAAAGAAAGTGAGGCTATGAAACCCCCTTGCCATCAGTGGATAAGAAAATACCTAGTTTTCTCTCGATTTCTGCCACCATTCACTTAATCTTTGCTTGGTAATCTCTACAGTCTTGAAATCCACTCTCCCTTCGCTGTCTCTAAAACCCAATGACTTTATTAAATCTATGTTGTCTTCGGTAGGCATAGGGTGAAGCCCTTTACAGTAGAGTATCAAGTGCTCAGCCGTCTCGTCCTCCTCTCCACAAGCAGTGCACACTGTATCAATTTCCTGGTACTTCACTCTGTATGTTCTGGTTCGCAGAACACCCGTTCTTGCCTCAAACAGCAATGAGCTTCCCCTAGAATTGTCATAAATGCTTTCTTTGGCAATAACTCTTTTGTTTAATCTATAGCTTTCCAGAGCCGTCTTTGTCTGCATTCCCTCTAGCCACCAATCTCTTTCTGTGGCCTTAACTTTCTTCTTAACTGAGACTTGCTCTTCCGTATCTTCGCTATAGCCCAAAAACTTTCCTCTTAATTTCCTAGTGCGCTGTCTCCACTTTGTGTCTACACTCCTCATGTATAAATAGCTGAAAACCTTTCGTGCCCATTGCTCCCTGTCCATTTGCCTCAACCTATCCTCAAATTCTACCTTGCTCACCGCTTCCCTGCTCTCAAATGATGCCCATCCCATGTCTCCTTGTACTCCCTGGTTTGGCGTTTTGCAATGTGCCCCCAAAGCCAGTCTACCTACTCCGCGCTGTTTTATTTCTAGTCTCGCATGCACTTCGGATTTCATGCATAGCACTGCGTTTCCAAAAGTCAAGCCAGGCACCATGACCCCTTTCCAAATCTCTCTCACCACCTCATACCTGTTGTAATTCCAAAGTGCTCTATTTTTCATTACAGCTGCATTTCTGTTTCCCTTACCTATTATATACTTTTCATGGTCTTTGAGATATTCTGCACCATCACATATCCATACTCCTAGATACTTGTATTTACTAGCTCTCTCAACTGTAATATTCTGTATCTTCAGCCTCTCAACTTCATCCTCGTTAAAGATCATGACTGCCGATTTTTCGCTACTGAATTCTAAACCTAATTCCTCTCCTTCCCTACCACAGTTGCTCATTAATTCCTGCAACTCTGTCCTGTTGTTAGCCATTAGTACAATATCATCCGCATACATCAATCCCGGTAAGGATTGCTGAATTTTTTGGCCTAGCTTACTGTAAGAAAGGTTGAACCCAAGCCCACTCTTCTCTAGTCTATCCTCCAATCCTCTCAGATACAACATAAACAGCAAAGGCGATAACGGGCACCCCTGCCTAAGGCCTCGTCTTATCTCTATTTTCCCTGTCGCCTTTCCTTCCCATGTTATAATCACCTTGTTATCTTTGTAAATGTTCCTTAATAGTGCTGTTAGTCCTTCATCTAGGTTTAAGTTCTCCATTATGTCCCACAGGTTTCTTTGGTTCACATTGTCATAGGCACCCTTGATATCCAGAAATGCCAGCCAGAGCTGTCTGTTTTCTTTTTGCGTTATTTCTATACACTGTGTTAGAGAAAATAAATTGTCCTCCAACCTTCTTTGTTTTCGAAACCCGTTCTGTAATTCGCCCAGTATGCCCTCGCAATCTACCCATTCCTCCAGTCTGTTCTTTATAATCTGCATTACCAACCTGTAAATAACCGGTGTCACAGTTATAGGACGATAATTACTAATATCAGACTTATCTCCCTTTCCCTTATATATCATACTCATCCTACTAAGCCTCCATTCATCTGGAATATTTCCTTTTGTTATCATGGTACTCACTACCTCTTTTAGTTTTGCCTTAGATTTAGGACCCAAATTCTTCACCAGCTTGATAGGGATACCATCTGTGCCTGTCGACGTGCCACTAGGGACTCTTCGTTCCGCCTTTTCCCATTCTCTTTGTCCAAAATCCGCGATGTCACAAACTGGACTGCTACTTCCTTCGGTTCTCCTATCTTCCACATGTACCCGTTCCCGAAATTTCTCCTCCATCACAGCTCCTATATATTGTATCGCCTCATCTCCCTCTAATTGATCTCCCTGATGCGAGAGTATGAACCTCTGTCTAGCTTGCGTTGTTTCACCGAGTGAGTTCAAGTGCTCCCAAAACTTCTTGGCAGCGTTTCTATCTTTCTTACTTACATTACTCATCCATTCCTCACCCTTTCTCTGAATTTTCGCATTGATCAAACTGGATGCCTCTCGGCGACATGTTATAAAATTGTCCCATTTTCTTTTTACTTCCGTTTCGGACTCCCCACTACGCTTGGAATACCTGTGTTCTCTAGAGGCTTCCTGACGTTTTTGTATCCCTTGCTTCACTTCTTTGTCCCACCAGCTTTTTGGTCTATGTCCTTGCTTCCCCTTTCGTTTACTCTTAACTTTGTCTCGAAGTTCCACCGACTTAACACTGCACCACCGAGGAGTGCTGTGCACTATCCTGGTTTCAGTGTGATTCCGGTGCGAGTTGATAGAAGATGCTACAATATTCACACAACACACCATGCCCCATCATCTTATATAAACAGTTTTATTGTATAAATATGGATATCTACACTAGAAATATGACCAAAAAAAAAACATGAAATGGTATGGACATGAACTTTCACAGCGAACGCCCGCCACAGTGGTTGGGCACTCGAAAAAAGAAACAAAAGGAACAAATTCCCAGGATATTCGAAGCGAGACAACCGCAAAAAAAAAAAGAAAACACACACACAAAAACAAACAATGCACCCTCCGTAAACGAGACGCGTTTTCGTTGCCGTTAACCACCATCACCGGATTCAAAACTGTGCTGCGTGCATATAGGAACTGTTTGATATGATGTCCTGAAACTGACGGTTAAAAAAAAAGAAGGGGCTTTACTTTTTCTTGAAATTGCATCTCTTTGATAGCCGAGCCGTCTTTAGAACCCGCAAAGTACTAGAATTCAGACACAAAACAACCTCTCTCTTCGCTCGTCCGTACACGAAAAAGACTGAAGAAACAAGACGTCCCTCTAAAGCTGTACACTGCCATGACTGAGGACGACCACCACTGAAGCGAGCTAGTAGGACGCTGCGGCGCCATAAATACGGGCTGTGCCCACGAATCGGTCGATCGTGGTCGGACAGTGGGTGAAACGGGAGGTCTGCAGGGCTCTCGGTTGCATTGGCTACAAGTTGATCTTTTTTCTTTTTGCCACAAGCACTTTACAATATTTACAACAAAAGGTGCGCTCGACAAATGCGAGAAAGGGAGAAGGAGACGCCGTCGGAGGTCGTGCACTTTGCCAGTCACGGAAACGTTTTTGCATTCAAGGTACAAAACAACTGCCGCCATCTCTCAAGCACGGTGCGCGTCCCGTCGTCTTCGTGTTCGGTTATTTACGAGGGGAGCGGAGAAAAGAAAAGGGCGGAGCACTCTACGTGCACTCCGAGATGCCAGACGGGGGCATGCAGACGCTCGTCCGGCAAGAGTGCTTGCAGCCACGACATGATCGCGGGTGAAAAAGAGCGTCGGCAGACGGAAATGTCGGTCTGGGAACGGGGCGATTGTCGACAAGCCGAGCGGCGCAACTGTGTTGTGAAGAGTGAGACGGCCGAGAAGAAGGTGGTGGTGTGCAACCACCAAATTGTCGCGACCCGCCCTTGATATGCGTTAAACACTTTTGTGTCACGGTACTCCGTTTTAGCACTCCTGAGAAAGGTCTTCCTTTAAACATTGCCTTTGAAAGACTTTGCTCGAAAACAAAATCTGCGTAAGAATAAAATGTGGTCGATTTTTATTTCCGAGATGATGACTGGCATAGACAATTTTACTCCAAACAATGGCAGCCTTTTAAGATTCAGCATGCACGAGACAGCCAGGCACTCTTCCCTCCTTTAAATTTTATGTTTTTTATACATACATCCAAACAAGAATAAAAAAACAAAACTGAAATTAAAAAAAAAAAGGGAGAATGAAGGCAGTAAAAACGTTTTAGCTAATAAAAAAAAGGCCAAGCTTCAGCTGGCCCCTAAAAAAAGAAAATATACCGAAACCACTTCGAGCCAACCTTCGAGATAAGCAGAAATTTATCTTATGCCCCAAAGAATTTCACCATTGGTGACATTATTTTATTACCACATCTATACGTTTGCCCAATTTCATTTCCAAAGTCCAGTAACTGTTGGAGCCAGATATCGAAGAGTAAAAAATCTCCACTATAAATTATATTGCTAAACCGGCACAAATTTTATCCTTTTCCTTAAAACATGAAAGGCTCTAGACACGAAAAGATCGTTCGTGGGAGAATTTCAAACGTAAAAAGAAAAGCGATTCGGTCGATAGCAACAATGAAAGGGGTTCAAGCAGACTGTACTGTCTCGTGGCTCGACTGCACTCCCTGTATTCCCGAAGTGTCACATGGCATTTGTTCCAAATTGTTGCAGTACCCCTAGGTCCTTGCCTCGGAGCACTTCTATTGTTTCAAAACACAGTTTCGTGCAACAACAATCAAACTAACAGTACCATCTAAGGGACACGAAGCAGGCAGTCTGTCGGATTTAGACACACAGAGGCATTGGCAGCCAGCCCGTACACCCCTTTAGCACCTCCAGAAAACCCGTCCGGAAGCAGAGAAGGGACACGCAACCGTCGACGGCACAAACGACGCCTCCGCGGAACGGGCCAATGAGATGCGCCAACCGACACGAGACGGCGTTTCCGCAGCCCCGGCTCGATCCGAGAGCTTGGTAGCTGGACCGCTAGGGAAACACGTTTTCGTCGTAGCTTACGGCGGGCAAGGAGTTTCTATGACGAGAGCTATGCACAATGAGGGATGAGGCGAGGGCTCTACGCAAAAGACGGAGATAGCCGAGAAGCGTGCGGCAATGGCCGTGGTGGAAATGGTGATGGTGGGGACCGAGGAAAGAATGGCAATGGGGCACACAACGGGGTCGCGTCGAAAATAAATAGTACTCGAAAACTGAACCATGTTCAACACGCTGTACAACACGCAACACGCCGACAAAGACTAACGCACACACACCTACACATACACACACGAAAATGTGCAAGAGTTGAGAGGCTCTGGTGTATCGTAATAATAACAATAATAATAATGTTCTGTACAAGTGTCGCATCATTTTCGGTTCTCTTTGCGCACAATCTCACATAGCGCCTTCGACACCACGCCTTCTGCCTGGCTCTCTCTCTCCCGAGCCAGAGCGGAAGTTTGCAACGTGCTTTCTTGCATATTAGGCATTTTTGTCTCTTTCGCTCGCTTCGCATTTCCTTCGTTTTCATACACCTCTTTCTTTCTTTTTGTTTTTGTCCCCCGTCCCACCACCGACGTACTAATGCCCCGACGAGCCTATTGCAGCGGAGGTGCGCGCTTTTTTTTCGTCTGTACAACGTGAGGTAATGGCGGAGAAAACTGCATATGCCCTCGCTCTCCTCGTTTCGCACGAGGAGAGGGGGTTTCTGCGCCAACAGAGAACAGAGCGACCGGGCAGGCGTGCAAGGACCCGGCCGCAAACGTGGTGCACCGAACCCCCCGCCAAGCGCGAGCTGCGAGTTTCCTTCTGCGTCGCCGGGGTGCGTCGACCCCCTCCAACTCAAACCACAAATTCCCAATCGCCGGACCCAACCGGGGAGGGAACGCCGACCCCCAGAGTCAAAGTCCTCGCGGGATGACGCCAGCCGGAGACCAAACACAAAGCCGCACTCAACGAACGGCACGGGGTCCACCTAGACGCGCAAGGTTACCACAAGTTTGTTTTCACTCCCGGTTCTCCGACGTGCGCCGCACAGAGTTCGACGTTGAGGCGAAGTTGACGGCTTGAGGCGGCTGTGCTGCGCGGACCGGGAGCTCAGGGTTCGAAGAGCGCCAAGAGGTCGTCGTTGCCTGGAGCGGCGCCCGTCCCCGATGTGCCGGCGCCATGGCCCGGGTGGCTCCCGGCACCGCCGGTGCCGCCCCCGAGGTCGGGCGGGTCGAGGTAAGAGAGCAGCTCCATGGCATCCACGCAGCTCTCTGGCAGCAACTGCAGCGGGAAGGGGGAGCGTGAGGTGCCGGTCTGCTTGCCTCCCTCCCACCCGAGGGGGGACCACCATACAATACAGGTGTTACTCTCAAAGGAGTGTTCAGAGATATTTTTTTATGGTCCCTGATCTTTCTTAAAATTGTCTAAACACACCAACAAACATTCAGAGCTAATAGCTTATATAATAAATGAAAATGCCCAGCATGCCCAGCATGCGGCCGCAAGAGGGCACCGAACGCACAATGGGCGATACGTCCCACCGGCAACCGGCGCAACGTGGTCCTAGGCACCCGGCATGTTGTCAATTGGGGCTTTTAAGGTTGGACAGCATGTCATAAGGGGACAAGAAAGAACAAGATTGAGATATCTAGAGTACAAGGACGCCATTAAACTTTTCATCCCAGTTTACGTCGCTTTAACAGTCTGGAAATGCTTCGTTGACTACCCGACCGAGAACGATGAATTTTGCAAAGAGCAAAAGGCGGCACTCACGTTGAGGCCCTCCTGTCCCTGGCCTTCCCCGTCGATGACGGCGGCAGGGTCGAAGCTGAGCTCGCTGAGGTCGGGTGCCAGGGATTCGGGGCCCCCGCTGCCCTCCAGGCTCTGGGGGGGCACGCTGGGGGGCCCGCCGGGGGTGTGTGGGGTGTGCGGCGTGTGGGGCGTGTGGGGCCCGTTGCTGCCCACCGACTGGGGCGTCTGCTGTTGCTGCTGCTGCCCCGGGTGTGTCGGGGTGCCGCCCCCGCCGGGGGGCGCGGGCGTGCCCGGCCCGCCCCCGACCGGGCCGGGGCCCGGGGGCTGGGACGAGGGCGTCCCTCCGCCGGGGTGCCGTGCAGCCCCAGCCCCCTGGGACGGCTGCTCGTGGTGGTTCGCCAGCGGGAGCATTTGCTGCAAACGGGAGGGGGAGGGAGTCAAACCCCCGAAACGTTCGCGGCAAGGGCAGCCTGCGAGTTGTGGCCTGCGAGCTGCGGCTGCGCATGCTCGAGCCTTGAGGCCCTTTTGACCACTCGCGCTTGCTTAGGACCGAGTTTTTGCAATCTCGTACGACGAGATAATGTAATGGCACGATGGCGCCATCTATGAGGTGACCCTGGAATTTCCCTAGAGCAAAGGTTTTACACAATTTGTCAGATCAAATGTACATACTATCTATGAGAGATGGTCGTTTATAACACTCAAAAGATTTTCGAGCCAGTAGTAAAGGAATGATGCGCAAAAAAGAAATATACGTAAATGCCAAGTGGCTACATGATAGATGGCGCCAGTGTGCTCCCTCGTTGTAGGAGACCCCAAGAGGTCGTAAGGAGTCGTAGCTAGCGTGGGTGACCAAACTTTCAAGTAAAAAAGGTGAAAGGCTTTTGTACGTTTCACGGCACTACAATTTTTACTTCTGAACGGAATGTGCACCACTTAGATGTACAAAAAATGTACAAAAAATGCAATACGACATGTACAAATAAGTGCCATTTCGATTACCTAGTTTCTATGCAAGGATGCAACAAACCGGGTTCTGCACATTTATTCGGACAAGCTGCATGCGAGGGACCTCTGGCAAAGCAGCACTCGTGCCTGCATTTTTGCCGGAACACCGTCTACAAGAGACAACACACTAAGAAAAAATGTTTGCGGCTCAAAATCGGGCCATGTTCTGAGTGCAATCTGCCGGTCGAAAACCGACCGACTCCCTCCCTCTCTTTTCCTTGGCTGCTTTGCAATAACGATGCGGAATTTGCAATTTCTCGTAAGTAACGAGACGGCTCAGGCACGTCTTAGTTAATAAGCAAGAATATCCAAGAAATGTAATTCCTCGTGCCCAAAGAATCACCCTTGGTGATAGCCATGTGCACCGAAAAAAATGACGAGCGCGTAGACCACAAATACATCCACTTTCGCTCGACATTCGAGGCCGCTACTGTTACGCATCGAAACCCCATCGATTGAAAAGAACTCTCGCAGTCGCGGTGGGCGAAACTGCTCGCATGACTTCCAGAGTCTCCGATGCCGATGGCACGTCTCCCCACCCCGGTCCTTTCGTTTCAGTTGCAAGTATTTTTTGGTTTTTCTCGGCATATGCTACAGAGCGAGAAATGAGTTGACTAGTATCTATTTTCCCGATTTTTGTACGAAAACACAAACAGATTTGTCTACAGAGGTTGCCGACTGGAACAGACTGGGAGTCACCTGCTCGTGGTGGTTGAGAGACTTCTCCATGGCCGCCAGGTGGTCCAGAGAAGCGACGCTGTCGTTCAGGTGGGACAGGGGGCTCCCAAAGTCGGACGCCTGAGACTGGAAGTCGAAGCCGCCGTTCCGGTTCCCGTACGCCATCCCGTTGGGCATCATGGGACCGCCGGCCATGCCGGGACCGTTGGACATTCCCGGGCCGTTGGCCATGACGGGACCGTTGGCCATTCCCGGACCGCTGGGCATCCCCGGGCCGTTCCCCATGCTCGGCCCATTGACTATGGCTGCCGAAGAAACAAGGAGCGAGCACGGTCAATCACGCCGCAGCTTTTCTCCGATGTGACACAAAAGAATGTCTTCGTCGTGCAAAACGTTCCAAAATGCGATGACCGATTGAATTTGCGAAACATTAGGCTTCCGAAAATACGGTCCAGTGGCCGCTGCATCTCTTATCTTTTCTCCGGTTTTGCTACCTCCGAGGCTGAAGGCCCGCCCGGCGCTCAAGGGGTACTAAACCACTTTCTGCATACCTGCCCCCCAACCTGTGGACTTCCAAATTCGTAAAACTCTGGCGGGGGGGGGGTTGCGCGAAGCGATGTGCAGCTTAATGTCAACCTTGCCACCGTGTGAAACGCTTGCATGACACGTGCACGTGCTGCAGAATCCAAACTTCTGTCCCTTTTTCGACGGCACAAAGCACAGGAATTCCGACGTTTAGGACTTCAGGAACACCCGAAAATACCTCTTTTGAGGTTTGGAGTTTGCTATTGGGCCACGAAGCCACCACGACCAGGGGAATGCTACGATCACACGTGCAATGAACTCAGACGCCACACTTCTCGCCTCGAAACTGGCCGAAACAGAGAGGTAGTTAACCACGTCTGAACACGCCGAACCAATGTGCGCTGCCGAACGCCGAACACACGAACAAAGGTGTTGGGCTTTGGATTGCTTTTGAATCCTTGGCCACCGGATAGACGGATAGTCGAAACACCCGACGCTGCCGTGGACGGTACCTATCGCCCTCTTGTGGTGGTGCAAGTTACCGCCAGCAACAATTTTTAGAAAAAAAAAAAAAAAATCTATTTAATATATATTTTTTCGTAATATTTGAAGCAAGATTCGTAAAATCGTAAAATTAGTCCTAATTCATACATCTTACGAAAAATTCGGAAGAGTTGGCAGGTGTGCTTTCTGCGATAGTCTATTTATGGTTAACTCAATCCAAGGGCTCCATGCATCCTAAAAAACCAAATGTTACATTCCTGCGTGGCTGATCTCTAATAAAATCGGTATCAAGAGATCGACACCAGATGACATCACCAAACAAGGAAGCGCAGAATCCAGTCAGTCAACCTGGCCCTTCCTCGTGCAACAGTGCCCTCTGGTGTCTGCGATAGTTCCGAGGTACTAATTAAACTTTGATACCGATTTTAATAAAAAAGTTGGCCACGGATAAATGTAATGTTTGGATTTTTAGAATGCTAGGAGCCCATAGATTTAGTTATGAGCACAAACAGAGTATTGCAGAAAGTAGTTTAGTGCACCTTTAAGGTCTGGTGAGCCCAGCAAAACAGATTATCTACTGCAGAGTTATAAGGGATTTTAGAATAGCGTACGCCAAATCTAAGAACGTCGCATGCAGCCCTTGGGGCGGGACTTTCAAGAAGGAGGAGTGTGGGGCGCACTCACACTGCATGTCGGGGGGTGGCAGGGCTGGGTACGGGGACAGCCCCTGGCCCATCTCCCAGCTGCTGGTCGTGGGCATGGTCATGCTGCTTGGGGACATGGCCTTGAGCCGCTTCTGGGCGCTGCACGACTCTGCTCCGGAAAAGGGAGAGGGACGCTCAGACCTCCGGCACCAACAACCCACGCCACCCGGAATCTACCCAAGGTCTGACCCACGTCACATGAGAAGATGCTGAACGTTTTAGGATCTGTTTTAAAGGGATGTTTTCCAAGGTTGTTGGGACAAAGTATGTTGCTCAATTATTCATAGATTTTTAAGACGCCTATTACCGCAACCGCAAATACCGGTAAAACTGACACGACAAAAAGGAGTCGACGTAAACGGTTAAGGCTCATTCACTCACTTGCTACTATCTACGACCGTGTGCCTTGAAACCTCTTCAGATCTTTTACCACCAACGAACACAGTGGCACCATCTTTTGGGCACCTGTTGAACATTTGGCATTTCCATGCAATTTCTATTTTTTCGCACATCACTCTTTCTATGTTGGCTCGAAAAACTTTTGACTATGTTATAAACGACCATTTCCCATATATAGTATGTGCATTTGATCTTGCAGATACTGCAAAACCTTCGCTTTAGTCAAATCCAGTCTTAAGGCCACTTCATAGATGGCAGCAGCATGCCGGTGTGTTCTCTCGTCGTAAGAGACTGCAAGAACTCGTTTATAAGTAAATACAGGCCTGTGAGCGGGCCTTTAGACCTTGCTTTTTTTCGGTAGCTGCAGAGCGCAAGTTCCTCCGCTTCTTACACAGGGGTTGCAATGATTTCAAAACGGTGAGCTCTTATTGGCTGATTGAAAAAATATAGTGGGTAGACCTCAAGGCATCTAGCATTGAGGTTTACCCATTATCCTTTCAATCAAAGCCAATCGGAGCCCAGCGTCATTCTGCCATCACCGCAACTCCTGCGCAGGAAGCAGACGACTTGCTCTTTGCATAGCAGCACTCCGCGAGGGCATCCGCATTAGCCGTCGTTTGCCGTCAGCTGGTACAAGAGATTGAAGCAGCGCTCGCAAGTCCATTCAAGCTCCCATTCGGTGATCCCATGAAACGGTAGGCAACTCCCGCCACTTAACCATTCTTTTGCTCTGCCTCTACTCCCAGACACAGCTGCAAAACAATGCGTGGCATTTGTAACCGAAAACAAAACGTTGGTGGCTCAAAATATAAGCACAAAATGCAATGAAAATTGACACAACGGCACGAAGCCAATGTGTTTTGATGGGTGGAAAAACGTTGGGCTTCCCTTCATTTGTAAATTGCAGAATGGTGCCTGGAACGTGTCTTTGACTGGTGTGTTTGCAGCGTCCAAAAAAAGTGGTCCCTCGATTTTCGCCCGATGTCGTCGTATAAATGTCACACTGTTGCCAGTTACAATCCTGGCGGTGTTCCAACAGCTGTGATGTATGTGGCAGACGCCTGTCCTGCTGCAGGTCGCTCTCCAGTGTGGCGGTCCACGGAAGTGTTCGTAGCCAGAAGTTCCTCGGACCATCGAGCTCGGGAGCGACCTGCAGCGGAACAGGCGTCTGCCACATGCACCACCTCCGCTGCGATGCCACCTGGACTGCTGCGGCCAACGACGGCGCAACGATTTTACGACGTCGTCGGGTGGAAACAGAGGGACGAGTTCTTCGGACGCGGCACACGCGCCGGTTGGAGACGCGCTCCTGGCAGTGCAGTAAGGGCGGGGCTCTCACCAGAGCCTTCGTGCTCGTCCTTGATGGACTTGACCGTGACGGGCTTCCAGCTGGCGGTGGCGTCGATGGTCACCTCCTCCACGTCCGAGTTGCTCAGGTTGGTCAGGATGCCCCACATGTACTGGTCCACCTCCAGGCCCTCCAGGATTGCCGTTTTACTGGAAGGGAACGCTCGTCAGCTTCCGCAAGGACAGCGCAGTTTAGAACTGAAATGTCCTCTAATCATCTTCCCTCAAAAAAAAAAAATATATCTTTTAGCTTTTTCAGTTTGGTGAAGAAGGAAGACCAGCGAAGCTGTACTATGGTGGGAATGAAGTAATGGCCGGTTGCAAGTCGGCAAGCCAGAGTGGAAAGGCTCGAAAGGTTCCGCCATCAATGAGCGACGGCGGCAAGCGGACAACCGGCAAACAGAACACTTTGGACAGCTACCGCCATCTATGAGCGACGGCAGCAACCAGAGTTTTATGTCGGCATTTCTTTGCGGGGGACACGATCCTGGGGAAACTAGCCCTTATTAAGAGCTCTGCTGTAAAAATTATATATTTTGTTTCTACAAATAAAGTGGAATGTGTTTCCGCGGCACTATGTGGGGTTTGATGTGGTGGACATTGCGGTGTTTAATGTAAAATGCGCTAAAAGGCTGGCACCTAACCACAGCCGGTTGGGCGCCGGCGAGGGAAATCGACGGGACAACTGCCAGTCAAACACCAACACGGCACTCAACCCTTCACTGATTGGACATCAGTGACAGCAGAACCTCTTCCTTGAGCGTCTTTATGTTACTCCCAGTGAGGGTAAAACATTGCTCGTTTAGAAATACAGCAGCGTTCTGTTCCGTGAAACGAGCGTGCTCTGGGCTTCCCCAATGAAAAAACGAAAAAAAAAAAAAAAAAAGCAACGGAAAAACAGAAAGAAACAAAAAAGGGGGCAGACTTTTTTGCTGCAATGGGTTGAGGCAGTTCCGAGCATTTGGATCTCTACTGCAGCAAGCTGATAGAAGGCTTCTGCTCAGTGTTGCGGTGTTCAAATTGTTCCGTTTCCGCACGCTCCGTCCACTGTGGTGTCTCTGAAGTGTCTGCTTTTCCTATGTCCCTGTCTTCAAGCGCAATCATGTTTTCTAACGTACCATACCAACTTGCCCAACAATCAGCACTTGCCGTCTACTGCGTCTCACACTCCAAAGGTTTCGAGAAAGTCGCATTTACGTCCCCGAAGAAGACAGCACCCACAAGTAAAACATCCGCGGAGCGTTCACGCGCTTACCTCGCACGATGCAGAGCCGCTTTGTGCCATTGAGTCTCCACATGTGTACGAAGAAGCTTCTCCACACTAAGATATCATATTCTGTGTTACCACCGCCTTTGCCACGCTAAAACAACAAAGGGGTGACTTTTTTTTCTATTTTTCTTGCGTCATAGCGCGTTATTTTATTACAAACTCTGTCACCGTAACGCCAGTGTTTGGTGCTTGAGCTTTAACAGTTAGAAGAGACCTCCGTGGTAGAAACAAAGTTAGCTAGCTTTGCATTTCCCCACTAGGTAGTGCAGTGGTAGTATGTCGAGCTCACAATCATGGGGTTGTGAATTCGATTCCCGTTGGGGCACGTTTAAGATTTCATTCTTTCTTCTCAATTTGCTGCTTCTTTGTGCAAATCGTCCTCTGAAGTAGGCGTTATAGGTTTTATAATGGTTTTCACGGCGTTCTGCCGCAACTTCCTCAGGGAACCAGCCCCGTAAACACATTCTGCATTAAAAGACTACCCTCAAAGTATTAATGGGCTCTATGCATATGCCCTTAAAAGAACATTGCATGCCGTAAGCTTTGCGGCGTATCTTCTTACCCGTATCGCACGTGCCCTCCCGACGGTCGAAAAATATTTGGCGTGGCCCCGCTCTTCGGCGATATTCGTGGGACCTTGCAGGCAGTTTGAGAGCTTGCCGACTCCAAGAGCGGGCGACGTGAGAATGTTCTGCGCTTATCCACAACACCAGAAAAACCCAGCAGGCAGACTGCCGACAAAATGCGCACCCCCCTTTTTGTATGTCAGCGAATCTCCACTACGACGGTTCGGAGACCCGCTGTGGCGTAGAGACAAGGGCGACGCTTTGACCGACTGATGACAGACGTGGCAAAGGTTCAGCTATCGCGAGCATGCATGTCTAAGAGTCTTCCAACAGACAGCACCTAATGGCGACGGGGCTCTTCAGGACCCCAAAACTCTTCGGTACCCAATTTCACGCGTGCAAAGGCAGCCTGCTCACCTGCAGACGGGGCACCGCCAGGAGCCTCTCTCGCAATTCAACTGGAGGTACGACTCCAGGTCGAAGCACTGTGGAAAGAAAATGGTCACAAAGTTCAGGAAGTTCAGTGAATACAAATAATGAAGCACCAAAGAACTGTTTGAGTGAGTCCACCACAATGGAAGGACCAAATCGACGACAGCAGCAGGATTTCCATACGCGCACCGCATGTCGGTAAAATTAGTAGTTGTACAGTAAAAGTATAGGATGGGCCTCGGTGATCGAAACAAAAATGACTGTCAGATTCTGGCGGCATTTTTGCGTGCAGCCTGTAACCCCGAAAACTATGTTTCCCAAAATTAATTTGGCAGGATATAACGAGTTTATTTCTCATTCCAGTCAATAGGGTAATTTCAAATAGATCGACCGAAGAAAAGCCATTCAACATTTTTAATTCACTCGGTTTGTTTGTATGCCAATGCCTAATCAACCCATAAATCTTTTCACCTACAAAAATATCTCGGGACAGAAAAAATCGTAGACCACAAAGAGATGGACGCCTACACCCTCCAGTTTTCTTTACTCTACTACAGCTGAAAGGCAATCATCAAGAACACTAATGTGGTAGGATGTCCATATGTGGGGAACTAACTCGGGGCAAAATTTGTTGGTGCAAACTATACTCCCGCGTCAACTTCCCGGCGCCATGTTCGCAAGGCTGGCGTGCCCTGTGGCACTCAGAGTAAAAAATAAACAAAGAAAATAGAAAGAAAACGGATACAAAAAGATGTCCCTCTCCTCTTGCCTCCCATTCGACTTGTGTCCTTAACTCCGAGCAGAAAGAGGGAAAGCCAAGACACCTCGCACCCTTCTTTGTTGGGAGTAAAGGCTCTGTTACACTACGACATTGAGCTTAGCAAATGCGGCGTAGTGCACCGCGTGCAGGTACTGATCGGTCGCAGATATCGAGTTCCTGCTCACCGGCCAATGAAAACCGCATGTTCTGCGCTTCGCTGTGTTCACTGCGCTCAGCGTTGAAGCACAACAGAGCCTCAAGAGGCTGCAGCACTGAGAAAACTATGCCGGCCTCGCCAACGTTGTGCAGGAAAGGCAACGCGGAGTATAGGCTGTGTCGGTAAGTGCGAATCACGTTGCACTCTGCCCACGTTTCGACTGGCAGCTGAGGTACGCTGCTTGGATTGCGTTTAGGACGGGTGCGTTTAGCATCCTATTCCAGCCACGCATCGAAAGTAGTCTCGAAGGGGCGACAAACGACATCACAAGAGCTGGGGTGTCGCGCTGTCGGGTGTTGCAATCATGGCGGTTCCACGTAGTGGTGTCGGAAAAAGGCAGGCTGTAACGCGAGTGACACTCGTTGCAGCATCCCAACTCCTATCGGCCTAAGCTTCCAAGGGCTGTCTAGCTGGAGAGCGAACTGTAGTAGAACAGGAGTCTGCCACATCCAGCACTGCCGCTGCGACATCCCCAGGGCTGGCAACAGCACGACACTTTTACGACGCCATCGGGCGGAAATCGAGGGACTCATTCTTTGGGAGCAGTAAAGGCACCAGAGGGAGACGCATTGCAAGCACCGTAGTCAAGGAGAACGTCGAGACGTGTGTACGAACGGGCGCACCTGTATGTGCTTGCACTCCTGGCCCCGGGCCGGCAGTGTGATGCGCTTGAAGGTGATGGGGCACTTGAGCTGCACCTTGATGGCCGTCTGCTCGACTCCGTCCTCGTTGGGGGGCGAGGGGCCCATGGGGGGCGAGGTGGGCCCCGCCGAGAAGTTGCGCTTGATCTTGTTGATGCTGTGGTCGGCCGGGAGCAGCCGCTTGCGCAGCAGGCCCTGCAGCACCGACCGCACCGTGGGCCGGTGCACCAGCTGCAGCAGGAACAGGTGCGACTGCAAGGCGAGGGGTTCACATCATTTCTGTCCAGCACTTAAAACACTATCTTGCTTTTTTAAATCACACACACAACCATCCTCTTGGTTTAGTGATCTGTGTTTCTCACCCTATGCCCATGATGGCTTATTTTAATGGACCCAAACTAGCTATGGGGCCATCTGTTTTTCCAGCTACACGCATCTGCGTGTAACCAACAAGGAACCGAGGCACTCACGCAGCAGCAGGCCGTGACGGTGATCTGCACGGTGTTCCGGCCGGCCTGGCACACCTCCTTGAGGTAGAGCGGCCGGTGGGAGGTCTTGGTCTCGCCCCGGTCGATGCTCAGCGGGGTGGCGTTGACCGACACCTGGACCGAGGCCGGCCAGTTGGTGTGCATCTGGCGGTCCTCGTGGTGGAAGCACTTGAGCTGCAGCTCCAGGTCCGACCGCCACACCAGGGTCTCGTGCACCGAGGGCTTCAGGTGGAACACGTGGTTGCTCACGGCCAGGTTGTGTTCCAGCCGGAACGGCGCCAGGATGATGCCGTCCTTTACCGGAAACGTCAGCCGCAGCTCGTCGTCTTCTGCGCCCGGCGGGAAGAAGAAAGACGTCGGTGCTCCCGAAAAACAACGAGAAGACCCAAGCAGCGACGTGGGCGAGTTGGTTCGTTCGTGCATGAACCAACTCGTGTATTTTTGCTTTGCACACCAATTAACACATTTCAAAAACGTACCAACTCGCCTGCTCCAATATAGTGCACGTCCTGAGTACTTCTTTCCCATCCTCGTTGTTTTGTACGCTATTTCATATATCGCTTTAGAGGAGAAGAGTGACAGAAAGGTGGAAAAAGAAAGTAGACGATAGGTTAGGCAAGTGTGTTTTGCCTCAACGAGACGAGCTCGTTCAGGAGCTTGTTAACTCTGCTTATTTTTATACTATTCCCGACGCCAGTGTTTTTCTCGCACAAAATAAAGCTTGAAAGACTCTAGGTGCGGACCTGGCAAGTGATGTTTTTCTGCTTCTATGCGTATATCAAAACGTCGCTGGCAGCATGGTACCATCCGGACCACCAAAGTTTGAGTCAATGACCCGCCGATCCGAAGCGTCCGAAATGCGTGGAACCTTTCCCACTAGATTTAACTCTAAGGCACCGAGGGCAGTGTCGCTAAGGACGGATCTCGCATGAGCATAGGGACAAGAGGGAATGCGGCGCCACGGCGTAACTAAGACAACCAAATGTTTGTATATTATTGTACATGCATATTATAGGGCCGGCTAGATTTCGGGAGGGGGGGCCTGAAACCCCATAAATTAACCCTACCCCTGGCTATGCCACTGTGTACAGTCGCAAGATATACAAAAGAGAAGAGCTCAGGCTTATCTGAAGCACCTGCCAGTCATTAAGGACGTCCTGGTCTAACCTGGGGATGAAACTCGGGAGTCTAGGTTCCAGTCTCCTTAATCTTTGACAAATCGAGATATAATTTGAACTGCGGAGACAGCAGTCATTGCAAAAAGGACGGATGGTCACGGAGTGTTGTCGCTCATACCGTTCATGAGTGTACATCTGAACTTCGCACAATCTACACACTATCAAAGTCACGAGCCATTTGTTAAGGGCACATCAAATGGAAGGGGCGACGCATGGCCCAATGCGAGCACATATCCGCTGCACCGGTTTCGGAAGCCGAGGTGGCTAGGGCACGTAACACCGAGGGCCGCACGGCATGCTCACTCTGAATGGGCAGCGGAGGCTTGATGTCCGGGAACACGGGCTTGGTGTCCTGGCTGGGCGAGAGGTATGGGGAGATGCCAGACGCAGGTGTCAGCGGCGGCGTCGGGTTCCCGGGAATGGGCGAGTGCTGGTAGTTCATGTTCCGCTGCTGAAACACACACACGGCTCGAGCTCAGGCCACAATACTGGTCCAAACAAAGTTTCTAATGCAAGGATGCAAATGATCTCGGAAGTTTGTCGCTACGAATCCCCACAAACGAGACGTGCATGGGTGCGGGCTACGTGCGAGAGAATGCGGCACTCCTGACGACCACCTACGCCCATCTTAAATGTTCTCGCATTCTTCTCGTTTGTCGGCCGCCAAGCACAAAGTCCCCCCAAAAAACCGGTTCCGGTTCAAAATGCACACCCTCAATGGTTGCCTAATCTGGTCCAATTATTGTAATGGTTCCTCATCCAGGCAGTTCAGGCACGAGAAAGAGAAATTACACTTACGTTGACACTTCACATAAAACTGATTGACACAGTATGCGTCTATTTCTTCAAAATCTTATTCCTTAATAGATTACCCCAAAAGTTGAACGGGCAAAACAGACGCAACAGATCCAAACCGTACGACACTCTTAAGTACTCAGGTCCAATATAACTCTGGTTTATTCTAAGTTACACTGCACTGATCCACATAACGCCGCCTCCGAAGCCGTTTGAGAGCCCCCGAGTCACCTGCAGCCAGTCCCTATATGCTCGCTCTCCCTCCCACTCCCTCTTCGCTGCCGTTCCCCCGCGCATCCGCGGGATTACCCTCGCTCTGACTCACTTTTCCATGCATTGCCGCTGGAGGCGCCCCCGTCAATGCCGCGCTATCCCTCACAACACAAATGCACAATGCATTCTGCGTCGGTAGGCTTTATGCGAAGTATTGAGGCAAATATAAGTTTGCGTAGTCGGGAAAGATTTTTTTTTTTCTTCTGTAGAATATTATACACGCTTGCAAGAACAGACTTGGGGTGCCGCCATCTTGCCCAGCTGGGGTGCGCTTTTGCACGCCATAATCTAATTATGACGCCTTGATAAGGCGTCGTAATGGGATTACGGCATGCTTAAGCGCGCCCCGACTGTGCAAGATGGCGGCGCTCTGGGGTCTTCCTTGCAAATGTGTATAAAAGGGGTATAATAGTGGGCTCGTTCGATTTACGTGCACCTCCCAATCGGCTGCACATCGCCGTATTCCATTTATGAGTGCAGCCTATCTGAAAACGCAACTAAAAGTACACTGCCCTGCACTTTTCTGCACCGCTTTGCACAGGTGCGGGCAAACCATATGAGCCCAGTATTGATCTATCCCTTATGTTATTGCTACAGACACCAGCTGCTTAGAGGTCGGAAGATACGTATATAGCTGCCACACGTATTGCAACTACAATAACCTTATTCTAAGCCACTAAATAGCGTAGGAATTGAGCATCACACCACTGACCGAGGGTTCTTGGGTTTAATACCCGACAAGGGACAATGTAATTTTTGCGAAGGCCCCTGCCCGTGTTTTCATGCTTTCGTTTGAACCTTTTATGATGCTACAGAAGCTACAAATTAAATAGCAGAAAAAAGAGGACAACGGAGTAGAAGAGACGTTTGTCCCTTTTACGCTATTTCATTTGTAGCTAATCAAGCCTCGACTAGTCATCAGCACACTTTACTAGACTTGGAGGCCAGACCTACAACATAATCTGAGATAAAATGCGTTCAAGAAACGTGGCGTCGAGCGTGCCACCGTACCCATGATACAGCCCCAGACTAACATATAAAGGACATGTCACCTGAAATCCGTGGGGAGGGTACTGGCTGCCGGGCATGAACTGGTCGTACTGCGGGGCCATGGGCCCCATCTGCGTCTGCTGGTAGTACTGGGCGGGGGGCACCTGACCCCCTGGGTAGGACCCGCCGGGGGCGCCGGGCCCCTGGGGCCTGGCCCTCATCTGGGGGCCCGGGTAGCCTCCCATGCCGGGTTGGGGGCACCCCGCAGCCCCATACCCCTGGGGCTGGGGCTGCTGCTTGGGGAAGGGCCCGTTCTGGGGGCCGCCAGGGTACTGCCACGAAAGGGGGAGAGGGACACACGCTGTGGGCATCTCTCTTTTGAGAAAAGTGATGTCGCCCAAGCTTCCATTCAGTATATGGAGCTCAGAGTAGTTCATCTTCAAGCACATACAATGCTACGGTCACCTGGTAAAAATAGTTGCGAAAACAGCTTGATGACGCCAGGGAACCATTACGATTCAATGACAATGACGACGCAAAAAGAAAAATATACGAGACAATGAACACGATTTGCTCTACCGCACTAAAAGTAAATTGTTATCTTCTATGATGAAATTATTATTAAAGCTTCAATGAGAGTCAGAAGTTTACTCCTCTGTACAAAAACCCCCCAGAAGTTTTATAAAAAAAAATACAAAACATCAAAACTGAACGACATTGCAACTGACACTTACTGTAATATCCCAAAAAATGTCCCCCCCCCCCCCCGAAAGATAACCCGGCCCTCATTCTTCAGAAACACCGAAAGATAGCCCACTTCTAGTAATTGCAGGACCCCGGAAAATGGTGACCTCGGCAGAAATGGTGTTACTTAGCCAGGACGGGAGATATGTGTACATTGCTAAATGGGAAGGACAGTCTTTGGTTCATCGCCCCTCCTCGCAATCACAAGTCTCGCAGGTCACAGAATTACAACTGGCATTTATTCAACTTTTTCGATCGCACAACAAAAGTTAGCCCACTCCATAGTATCATCCGATTTGCTTTAAAAAATGTATGTGAATTCATCGGTTCATAAACTATTCCCTCAAGACGACAAAATTTTCTGCACGAGCGACCAACTGCACTTTGATCCGACCCAGGCGGGACCACAGCGAGTGCTGCGAGCTGACCTAGCACCCCAAGCAGGTCGTACAATCTTGCGATAGAGTGCAAAATACCCTAGCTTTTTCTGAAACAACTTTCTATGGGCGCCATCCTCTCCGGTTTAAGAGGTGCGACAAGTTTTCTCACTCAAGCAACTCCTTCGTCTTCACTGCCGGTCCCGCCCATTCCCAGCAATATCACCTAGGAAACAAGGCCTCTCAAACATCATCACTAGTGGATTCACGCAGCGCACCTAACTCGTGTCAGAATCGCCGTCAGCGCATCTTGCAGCATCTCCCAATAAGCGCGACAGAAGCAGACGGCGATGCCGAGGTGGACACGTCTGTCTCTCGAGCTACAGCGCGTCTGCCACTTGGGGCGGGTCGAGGTTTAACCAATGATGACGTCATGCACGGGCCTTGTCTTCAAGGTGGTAACGTCCCTACGCCCCAGTCTTATCTTTGAGCGGCCACCCCCTTCCTCACCTGTGCGTTGTAGGACTGCTGCGGAGATGGTCCCCCCATGTACCCCTGCATGGGAACTTGACCGGCACCCGCCGCCGAATATTGCTGCTGCTGCTGCTGCTGTTGTTGTTGTTGCTGTTGCTGCTGCTGCTGCTGCTGTTGCTGCTGTTGGTGTTGCTGGTGCTGGTGTTGCTGCTGCTGCCTTTTGTGTGCCAGGTACTGCTGGGGGCTGGGGTAGGGCCTGCCCCTGGGCTGGGCCCCGTACATGGCCGCCGCCTGGACAGCCTTGGCGCCCCCCATGGGGCCCATGGCGCCCATCATGGTCCCCATCTGGGCGCCCCCACCAGGGTGGGGAGGGGCTCGTTGGGGGGGCGCGCCGTAGCCTCCCTGGAACTGCTGGTGCCCTCCCATCTGGAGCACGCGACAAAGAGGAAACTCTAGAGGGAACCCGCTCGCGTCACTTGGCACGCGATGCTGCCGGTACATGGCCCGGACACCCGCCTTTTCCGGAAAGGAAACCCAAAATTCGACGAGCTTTGGGACAGACCGAGCGCAGACTCGTACCCATCATTTATTCGCCACCATTCGGATACGTATCCAATACCTGTAGGGCCGAGCGTAGATACAAGACAATAATATGTTATAGAATCAAAGATGGTGCGAAATTGAAAGTTCATAACGAGAACAATGATTACATACGAATGAAAATCAGCCTGGTCTACAAAGGTGGCAACGGAGGATGGTATATTGTTCCAGTCGCCGACAACATAAGGAAACAACGATCGATTAAAAGCTTTGGTAATTTAGTGGAGTGCGCTAGGCCGACTAAAAATAACATGGTTATTTCTTATTTACTTTGTTTTAGCTTAGTATGTGAGCACCTCGTGGAATGCCGAAGCTCTGGCTAGCGCATGATAAAACAATTAAATTCCCGGTGCCGTAGTGGTCCAAAGTTCCTACAAATCTGGTGACACCGACGTGATTTGAATATGCAACCTCGCATAGTAGCGGGAATGGAAATACGTCTATGCGGTGCTCACGCCATCCCAGAGCCGGCGGGCTTGGGTTCTTCGAGCAATTTGAGAGCGTCGGGGACGTGCACCCACCTGCCCGTACTGGCCGCCCATGGCCTCATGCTGCTGCCGCTCCTGCAGGGCCACCACACTAGCCGTAGCCGTAGCCGTGGCGGTGGCCGCGGCGACTAGGGCGGCCGCGCTGAGTGCCGACTGCGGCCCTGCCTGAAAGTCATTGCCGGAACCGTGGCTGCCCGCGCCCATGGAGCCGGGCATGCCCCCTGCCATGCCGGCCGGGCCCTGGCCATACCTGCGCAGGGGAGGGCAGTGAAGAAGGGCTCGGCCACGGCACGCACAGAGTTAACATAATATTCTAGAGGGAAAGGTCCCACGCATTTCGGCCACTTCGGAACGACGGGGCATAGGCGTGGACATCGGTGGCCCAGACTCCCAATCGGACCATGTTGCTGAAGATGCTTTCATATACACAAAAAGAAGGAAAACATCATTTGCAAGGTCCTCATCCGGTGCCTTCCTAGCTTTATTTTGCGCCAGAAATGCCGGCGTCAATCATTGTATGAAAATAAATAAAGTAGACGATCACTCGAGCAACTTCAACTCGTCACGGAAAAACGAAGATGCCTAGCCTATCGTCCGCTTTCTTTCTCTGGTCTTCCGTTGCTCTCTTTCTATCGGGACCATCGATGTCAGCACTTATGATTTGCTGTGCTCTGCTCCTGTCTTTACAATTCCAACATGAGGAGGCAGGGGATGCTGCATCTTCTTTGGGCGGCTGTCAGTGACGCCAGAGGAAACACAAGGACGACGCAACTACCCATCAAACTGGATAACTGGGCTAGTTGGTACTTATTCATATTGAAAGGGCACAACAAGAAGACAGGCACGAAGTGAGAAACTTCTCATACAGTTCCTCGGTTCGTTTGTGTCCAGGTGCGCCATTTTAATACGAAACTTCCCAGGAACTTTGCGCAGCGTTTGCTCTAAGGGAACAGGAGACGCAAATGAGGAACCGGACAAACCTCCTCACTGACGTGCAATTACTTTGTGGGGACAAGCAGTGACAAAGAAACAAAGGACAAGTTATCCCCATATGACGCCCCCCGTCGGCCCTCGACAGCAAGGTACGGAAATGATGCACCCGAGGTCAGAGTTGTGCAGCGTGCAGGACTCTGAAGCTTACCCTTCAAAAAGTAAGTAAGTTAGCGTTAGAGCTACCCGAGAAGAAATGAAGTTACGAAGTTAAGTTAACAAGACTCTCATTAATTCAAACTCTCTTAATTCAAATCTGTGGATAATTCAAACTAACATGCAGGTCCCATCCTATGCGTCTCTATGGGAGGAAACTCCCGGTAATTCAATCTCTGCTTTATTCAAACCAATTTTCTGTCCCCCTCGAGTTTGAATTAACAAGATTCGACTGTACAACCAGATTCTTGCACGTACATCTGGTTACAGTTGTTGTCAATCAAAAATAGTGCCAAGTTAGGTTCGAATTACATTTAAAATATTGGACGTCAATGCGTGCCGCCGATGCTGACCCACAGCCACCTGCAAACTGCTTAGATTTAGCAGCAACTTATTTTACGAGGATTTTACAATTGAAAACTACCCCTAAAAATTGACCACGGAAATAAATATTGCCCACCCGTGAGGGCTAATTTACTCCCGATTGCAAAACTTTGCAATGGCAAGCGCTTATAAAGAGCAGCAGTCTGGCAAATTTGGGAGATATTAAGCCCCAAGATACCATGTTGTTGACATAGTCATCGGGAGGAATCTGCCTCCAGCACGAGCTTCCTCCTTCGATAGTGGCCTATCGTGAGCCTCGAACGTGCACGCACAGCCCAAGCACGGCCAAAAGCACCAAGGGCGTGCTGTAGGCCCAGAATTCCATAGAAACACCCTCTCACCTGATCAGCGAGTATAGTAGAATACCAGGGAAATCCTACGGTCCTCAAGAACAAAGGCTAAGAAATGGCCTAACGTTGCCAACTAGTTTCCAACCCGGAGAAGATACCGGCACACATTCGTCTCGATTCAGCGCCAAGCTCGCAGCAAAGCTTGAGGCTGCGACAGAGTGCGACGCTGAGAACGTAAACTGGCGTTCATGTCGCGTAACTTTGAACGAAGCAGTTGCAACTGAACTAAGCTAAAACAATGTAACTTGGAAAACCCTCGGTTATCAAGACTGCGACTCATCGCCGTACCCCGAGATTTTCGATTGGTTGGCCCGCGGCCGGGGCAGCGAGTGCCGGATGCGAGGAAGGGAGTGCTCACCCGCCGTATCCGCCCGGGGGCTGCCGGGAGGGCGGGCCCTGCTGGTAGCCCTTGCCCCCCTGGCCGAGGGGCGCCCCCTGCGGGTAGCCCCCCTGTCCGTAGGGGCCCCCCTTGACCTGGGGGGGCCCCGGCACATAGGGCCCTCCGCTCTGCGTGGTGGAGGTCACCCCCCACACCGTTGTCACCACGGACAGCTGCTGCTGCTGGCTCACGGGACCGCCGGCGACCCCCGGCTGCCAGCCCATGCCTGGCAGGCCCCCGGCATCGCTGCAAGAAAAGGCACTCTGAGGTCTTCCCAACGAGGCGGGCAACGCCGGGGCTGTCGCACACATGGCGTAGAACACCGCCGATGCTACTACTGGCGCGTGGCCTCACTTGTGCAGCATTTCGTACACGGCTTACGACGCTGGCAAAGCTAGCGACACGGGCGTGCGATTGGATACGGAATATAGACTTGAACAGCGTGGTACAAGAGACATGAAACAAAGTATGGTATAACCTAATCTTACTGGAACAAAAGATCCAAACGGATGCATCATTGTGTCTTCCTTGCGCAACACAGGTTTGTCCACCAACCTGCCCCTCTAGGTCTATCACCTAGCCTAGCTGAACTGGACAGAGCATAACCTTGCCAGAGGAACCTTGTCAGGCCAAACCTAGCAATAATTATTAAAGAACCAACCTAACTGATAAGCAAAACCTACCTTAACTAAAAAGATTCCCAAAGCAAACTATACCTAAAAAAGTCTAAGGCTATATTACACATTCATATACAGTGCATCAATATACCAGACAACTGCGAGACAGCATTACATAGACTAACCATTAGGGATGTAGAATTCGCAACATATGCATCGGCACTAAGTGCTTTTTAATGAATGGCGGAAAGCGTAAACAATTACCAAGGGAGAGCAGTCTAACACGAAACCGTGACTGACTACAGATATTAATGGCATCGCCTAGCTTTCAAAGAGGCACCTTCAGTGCAGCTGTCAGACAACAGAGGTAACCAATAAAAAGAGTACCAATCGGAGAATCTGCAACGTGAGATCGGCCAACATACACATAGACAAAATGTGCTTCCGTTCAGAAAACCACGTTCCAGAAACAGGCCTCCCGGAGAACTAAATGCACCGTTTTAACACCCTAAGCAACCAGCGACTCACCGCACTCTATTTGTCAGACATGCAGAGAGCGCAACCGTATTTTGGTCGGAAAACAGCGGATGCCACCTGCAACCTTCCAGAGCAAGCAAGCAGCTGGCATTGACACAGTATCGCAATGCAGCGGGAAAAAATGTTATCGTCCGGCTCTCGCGCACAGAAACCTTTACATGTGATCCCTTCCAGGTTCACTATCGGGACGCTCACAGCTGAGGCCATCTGCCTCTCTTTTATTTTTGCTCAGAAACGTGCCGCGCTGCTGTCGAAGTTGCCAGGAAAAGATGACGACATCAGCGCTGTCCTCTAAAGGGGCACTGCAAGCGGAAGAAAAAAGCCTAAAAGCTGTTTCGAATGCAGCGCCAAGTGGCGGGAGACACGAAAGTTTACTGACTTTACACCGACAGCATTGGTAGACTGACGTCACTGGCGTCTGGAAACAGGACTGGCTGGAAAAGTACACGTGACTGCTTCGTGTGCTTTGTAGTCTGTGGTTCTCTCTGCACCCGTAAATTTGCGGATTGTTCACATCCTCACAATTGGATAGATTTTTAGCTTCCTTAACAATAAAGAATATCGCTCGCAGTGGGTGCATATGCGCCCTTGTTGTTTTGGTTCTCCATTAAGCCATTACAGAAGCATCGCCATAAGGAGAAATGGAGTTTCAAATTGTAGATTTATTTCACCTCTTACATTTTGAATAACTAAAATTCTGTAATATTTTTATAAAAATACTAGGGTCTCATGCGCCAGTTTCCTGCATAAGTAATTCAAGTCCAAAAACAGTGTACAAGGTCTTTTTAAAGGTTGACATACAAACTCGGTTTTCTGCAGGGATGATAATCCTCCTCTAAACTGAGAGGGGGGCCGTGTTAGGGCAGTTGAAAGGTGGAGAGGATATGGAAAGGAGGAAAAGTAGAAAGTGCAAGGTGTCGGCTTTTAAGCATGTGCTAACGAGGTGATATTGACATCTCACAAACCTATGTTATGCTGGAAACCAAAGAATATGAGATACTGCAAGTGCCGAAATCTAATGAACGAAACCTGCCATCGGTCAGAGCTGCTTATTTCTGCTTTATTGCAGAGAAATATTGTCTGCGAACGATTAAATGGCAGGAGCAAAAAAGACATGTGAGCCAGGTATAAACCCTGGCCAAGAGCCCACAGTTTGACAGAAAACTATTGCAAAAAAGAAAACAGTGATTTTGAATGCACGTTGAAAGATCCCCAGGTGGTTCAAATTAGTCCTCAGTCCTCCACTGGAGCATGCCAGACGCCTCTTGTTGGCTTGTCACATAAAGCTCCCTAAATTCCTATGTAATCTATGTACAAGGTGTCTCCAAAAAAATCTGCAGGGTTCTTTCCATTGCAAAAATAAACTACCGTAATATCCCGAAAGGACCCCCAAAACATAACTCACCGTCATTTTTGTCTCGATTTGCTATTTTCTTTTAAGCACCGAAAGATAGCTCACTCCTAGCAATCATACACTTCGAATCAATGACAACCCCGGTATCAATGCAGCTCGTTAGCTATGGCGGGATGTAAGCCAACATTGCTGACTGGGAAGTACAGACATCTTTGCTTCATTGTCCCTGGCGGTTATAGCAAGTTCTGCAGGAAAACATGACCTAAAAATGGAGTTTAACTTTTTCTCAATTGCATGCTCAAAGTTAGCCTACTTCTTATTTTCTCCCAATTTGCTGTCGAATTTAGGTGGGCTATCTCTGGGGTTATCACAGTATACATTGCTGAACGCTCACTCACCACCCCAAATGTTGTGCTAGAGGTTTGAACTAAATGCCAAAGTTTCAAAACCAACCATTATCTCGTTCAAAAGTTTTGCTCTAATATCCCGAGAGACAGCCCACCTAAAATCGAAATCGGGTACAAATAAGGAGTAAGCTAACTTGCAGTATGCAATCAAAAATTAGTTGAAAAAAAAATGCTAGTTTTAGATTCTACGAAACTTGCGATTCCAGGGAGCGACGATAACCCGAAGACGACTGCCCTTCCCACTCAGCAATGTTCGCTCCCGTCTTGGCTAAATTTCTGCCGAGGTGGCCAGGGCCCCGCAGTTACTACAGGTGGGCTATCTTTAGGCGTTTTTGAGAAAAAAAAATAGCAAATCGGTGTCAAAATCAGGGGGCGGGTTATCTTTTGAGGGTGGGGCATCTCTCGAAATATTACGGTTAGTGATGTTCTTTACATATCAATAGGAAAATGAGGCAAGTAATCTGTAACTGGTGCCATTTAGCTCCATGTATTGAGAGCACCGTTGGCCGCCATTTTCCCATTGCAAATTTCAGGCAATCGCTCATAGGCCAACGTGCTGTTCGCTAGCAAGGCCGCACGAGGTGCTGGAAAACGCGCAGTTTCTGCACGAGGTGTGGGCACTGCGCGTCCGCAGCAATCAGATTCGCAAGAAGTCGAGCGTGTGTGCATGCACAGGGGTTGCAACAATGTCAGAACGCCGAGGTCTTATTGGCTGATCAAAACAAAGTAGTGGGTAGAACTCAAGGCATCTAGCATTGAGGTCTACCCATTATCCTTTCAATCAAAGCCAATCAGAACTTGGCGTCGTTCTGACATCACCGCAACTCCCGCGGAAGAAGCAGACGACTTGCTCTCCGCATAGCAGCGTCACCGCAGTGGCGTGACGTCACTGCTGCATGTTGGTCTATGACTTTTGAATAAGGTAACGGCTAGTTCCGAAACTTTGGCATCTAGTTGGATCGCTTTAGCTACATTTTGACGGAGAGCGAGCATTCGGAGATGCATAGTTAATTTTTGAGGTGAAATAAACCCTGCAAGATATTTCCTGGGAAGACACCCTGTCAAGGCACTGAACAATAGCAAAACCTTTTACCTTTTTTTTTTTTTTTTTTTGCAGTTTTACTAGGCCATTGTAGTAAGGAGACTGATAGCAACTGGAGACTGAATGGCACATGAAGTTAAAGTTTTGGACGTTGCATACATTTTTGAAGTTAATTATGAAATTGAAAAGAAAGACTGACGCAAGACCTCTTTAATGCGGTGTGTCATAGGACGGACGTGTAGAGGAATGCGAAGGAGGGTTTCAACATCCGACACAAAACGCGAAGGCTTTGCAAAACATTTTTTTTTTTTTTTCTCTCAGGTTGTAGCAGTCGCACATTAGAGCTGTTCAGTAGTGAGAGATCCGCGTGCGCTCGGTTTCTGTACACATCGGCACTAACTTCCCGTGATAAAAACAGGAAGCGTAAAAAGAAGAAGAGAAAAAAAAAGTGAACAGAAAAGGACATGTATCGTTTCGAAGCGAATCAGCGCGGTCCGATACCGTGCACGCGGTATCCGGAGGACAGCGCCAGCACAGGTGACGAACCCAAGAATATGTTTATGCAGCCGCGTTATTTTGTCAAGATAACATAAATCGAAGACTACAGATGCAGCCGAACAAAAAAAAATACAGAACGACTGCCAGCTTTCCTGTCCAACAGAACGACGAAGTATCCAAGTCACGCTTGGAATATATCAACCTGTCTCAAACGTGTACTTAAACAACAACAAAGAGCTCCAAGTCTGGTTGAGTTAACAGAGGTACTACGGGGCTTCTTCAAAACGTTTCACGACCAAGTGGTCACATTGAGATGCGTGCACACAAACCAAAAGAAAGGAAAAAATAAAAAAAGTCACCGCCACGAATTAAAGCCACAGCCACTACGCGGGACTAGGCCGGCCGGACCCCGTGTTTACCCGCACGGGGGCTGTGGGCTCGAGTTGAGCGTCGCCGGCGCAGGGTCGGCGCAGGTCGTCGAGTGGCGCGCGTCGGCGGCTCGTGGGCCAACAACACGGACGAGACCGCTCGAGGCGACAACAAAAACAGCGAGGTTATCGCGCGATACGCCGGGCGGGCCGTGGGCAAGGACCTTGGCGGGGAGCGCGGGGCCACGACCGACGACGCCACAAGTGATAAGCAGCGCCGGTGACAGGCGACCGAACGGGCAGGCACCCGTCGGACGCCCAAGTTGGGAAAAGTGTGGAAACTCGACGGCGGGAGGCCGGAGCGCGTCGAGACGCAACGCCGCCGTCGGCCACGGGGCTGCGGAAGACTGCCGACTCGTGCCGGGTCCCCCCGTGGCAGCCCGGACCCGTGGGACGGCCGGCCGGGCTCGTTCCATATGATCGACGGCGGCCGCGAGCAGGCCCATTCAAGCCGTGCTGTCGGTCGCGGCTCGGCGGCAGTTTGTTTTCCCCCCGTGCTAGAAGGGACTCTTACCTCCCGGAAAGCGCTTGTCCGTCGCAATAGACATCCGCCACAATTTCAAGTTGAGTCATGGGCGTGATGGAACACATGATTTCGCGTAGAAACCCATAAAAACGCAATCACACACAGCACACACGCTCCACACATTCACGCCATTGTTAGGATGGCTGCTCGGGCGAGCGCGACTGCGCATGCCCGGAAGCGCCGTGACGTCACGCGGGGAGCAGGCCAAGCAGAGCAGCTGGCGCGGCGGCGCGGCGGAGGGGCCAAAGCCGTCAGCGCTGGCACTCCTTCGCCCAGGACGACCTTAGCACGGGCGCGCAAAAGGCGAAAAATCAATATCTGCACACATACGCGGAAGTCCTTGAAAATCCCTTTGTCTCTGCTGGCCGCGGCCAAAGGCGAAATCGAACACTAATCCGGGACCAAGCGATGCTGTCCGAGGCGACCACCGATGCCGTCCGCCAGCCGCGCCTCGGCGCGTCGGCGCTGTTTCGAGTGCATCGAGAGTGATAGCCAGATAATAATGTTTGCACGGGGAGGCGGGGGCGTTCGCGCTGCGCATTGATCAGGCGCACCGCGACAAGGCGCCCCAAATGCCGCCGCTGCGGCCATTTCGAAAGGTGCTGCTCCGCCGTAATCGTTAAAATAGGCCCCTCGGCTGGTGCTCTTCGCGTTCCACAGATGGCGCGAGCTCTGCTACCGCAGCACCACCTCCCGCCCTGTCGCCGCTGTTGTCGCGGTATGCGGCCGCGGAATGTTGTCGTCTGCTCTCCGCCGTTCTCTTCTTTTCCGCCCAAGGTTTTCCCCCTCTTGTCAACAACACTGAGAACGCGGCCAGATTGTTCGGATGGCTTCGGTTGCTGCCGAACAGCCGTGCGGCGGTCGTGTGCCCACTGCGACCCATCGGGCTGCCGGGGGGTTGAAGTCCTACGAAAATAATCCCTGGACAAAGGGAACAAGAAGGACAAACACCCATCTTCAAACCTTGAATGGTGCGCGAGCGAAGCCCACACACGTGCCTGGAAATCAGCCGGCGAACAAGCGAGAACTAGGATCGACAGACCTGCCGACTGCCAAGTCACCCAAACGTTACACCTGTGCGCGGTTATGAAACGCATTTAAACGCGGATAAATGACTACACTTACTGCCTGTGAAGAAAAAGTTAAAAGTCAAGCGATGCTGCGCAAAACGTGCCGCTCGGGTTTCAATATTATGCACCCGCTGCCCGGGAAAGAGACGAATCTGGAACGTATTTTGATTATTTTGTTTGTCATATAAAACCCAGAAATGCCGCGCGACTTCTCCCCTTACCGAGAGAAGAAAAAGAGAATAAAGAAAACAGAGGATCACGAAGAGGTCGAATCCCCCAAAGGTCACGCATACCACGCAGGCTCTGACGCAAACCAAAGACAAGCAAAAGGGGCAATAAAAAAAAAATGATCACGGCGTGACATCAATATCGGCAGACACACCGGCGTAGCACAGAGCCCAGCCTTCCCAGGGTCGGCATTCATACGCGGCTGCCGAGAAGCAAACGTGAATACGAGCGCGGGTGAACAAAAACAAGAGAGAGAGGCTTCTCGGAGCCCGCGTGCTCGACGCCGGCTCCTCCTCGCCGCCGAGTCGCTGGGAGAGTCCGAACGGGAGCCTTTACAGACGCTTTCGCACGCCACAAAAACGGAGAGGGGCGCGATGGAGGGCTAAAAGTGTAACGGGAACCGTGAGAAGGCGCTATTTGGCCGGGCCCCTCTTTGTCGCCAACCTGGGGGACAGCAACCCCTCGTCGTAAATTTGTATGGCGCGCCAAACACCTCGAAAACAAGGAGTTAAAATGGCGCTCATTTTCATCCTGAAGATCAGTTCACCTTGACCATTTTTTCAGCTCAGTAGCTTATGGTACTACTTTACCTCGGTAAAACACACAGCCTCTAATATATATGGACAACACCGCCGCGGGGTCTAAACCACAAACAAATAAACAAAGAGGCACGGCAAGCGACGGTGGAAGCGGCGAACAAACATATTTCGAGCAGACGGCCGGTACGCCACGAAGTGGGACTCCGCTTAATATAATCGCCGGAGTAACGGTGGCCGGGGTTGTCCCAGTTGTCTCTATAAAACAGATTTCCCGCCGGCGTATACGAAACTTGCGGCGGCCGCAGCGGCGGCCGGTAGTGACGAGAAAAGCACCGCCGCGCGTACGCCGTCAAAACCCCGTCGTATGTTTTTTTTTTTTTTAGACGAGTAGTTTGTCGCGGAGGGCTCTCCTTGGGTCGTCTTGGTTATCTCGAGGCAATGCTTGCAACGCGAGTTTGCTGCCTTTGATAACGTATCGGCACACGCGTTTGGTGTCAAAAAGCAGATATAGCGAAAAATCCTAACGTTGTAAATAATTAAAAGGTTAAAACAGCGTAAAAAACGACGGACAGGGTAAAGAAGGACACGGACAGAGCGCTGACTCGCAACTAAATCTTTACTGGACTCAACGGGGCAATATATACGCACAATTGAGAACAAAAAGAAGAAAATCAGCCTAAAAAACACTCAAAACAAAAGCCCAGAAAACGAAGTATTACCTCTAAAAAGACAAAGGCACGCGCTACAACCAAGCTAATCAGGTGGCCAGAAAATGAATCTCCTTTCTTGATAAGGCAACGGAAGGGCTGCTGAAGCACATGATCGACTCCCAATCTGTCCATTTCTAGGGCCTCCAAAATTTCACGTGTCAGCTGGTCGCGGTGATGTTTAACGACCTCGCACTGTTGAAGCTGAGGCTGGCATCTGCAGTCACGGCAATGTATGCCAAGGTGACCGGAAGCAGTTGAGGAGACGTTGTGAGCATGTTCCCTTAGCCTGTCGTTGATACAGCAACCTGTCTGGCCGACATAACGCCTGCCGCAAGACAGAGGGAGGGAATACACAACTCCCTCAGCGCAGGTGACGTAGCGATTGCGATGCTTCGTAGTGCAGGCCCTCGCCTCCCTATCAGAGGGATTAACGGCTCGGCACAACCTAGAAAGCTTGTCAGGAGCGGTGAACAAAACGTCCACATCACATCTGCCCGCAATACGTTTGAGGTTATGGGCCACGCCATGCATATACGGAATGACGGCGAATTTTCTTCTTTCTCGTCCTTTTCTACTGCTGAAAGGGATATAGCTCGTCTCAGGCCAAGTTTTGGTTTCTTTGAGCAGTGACTCAGCAACAGCTGTCAACACGTGTGAGGGGAACCCAGCGACAGTGAGGCGTTCAGTTTGCTTATCGAAGCTAGGTTGAAATTTGTGAAAGCAAGTCCTTCGGAAAGCATGTGTGTAGCAGGTCTTCGCGATTGCACGTTTTACAATTTTTGAATGAGCAGACTCAAAGGGCAGAAGAGGCTTGCCGGCCTGAGGTTCATAAGCCCAGCATACATGGTCCGGGCACATTCTTAGTGTTAAATCTAAAAATCTTATACATCCGGCTACAGGTACTTCATGAGTTAAAAGAAGTGGCAAAAGACAGTTAGAAAAGATGCTTAAAATATGAGTCATCGATGAATGAAAGGACAAGACGTCAGTTTCCAACAGGACTAAAAAAATCGTCTACATAGCGGAAAACCCTTGCAACCTTCGTACCCTCAAGATGTTCTTCCTCCTTTTAAGTATGTCATACCAACTCGCCCAGGCTTCAACTTTAGTTGTAAATAACTTTGAACATTTCTCACAGACGAAAATGCTTGTCAGTTGCACTGTTTTTCTTTCAAATTCATGGCGCTAAACTAAGTGCTCAAATAGTTTCATACATGCATTCATGAACAAGGTTGGTTGCTACAGGTTATGTAATTTACGCTTAAGAGTGACATCGAGACGTAGGGTTAATTAAATTGACGGCAGCGCACAAAGAAACAAAAATGCGCATATCGAAAGGCACAGCGAGCAGCCAAGCAACACTGGTTCACGGGCTCAGTGCGGCTGAAGTTTCGCCGCGCATACGCAGCGCCACTCCTCCCCCTGGCGAGGCGCGCCCATACTTGTTAGCAGTACGAGGAGCAGACGACGCGGGAGGCTGGCGCGCTTGTCGTGATGGCATCGCGCTTCGTAAAGTAATGTACCCAATGCAAAGGGGCAGTGCACCAGGTATTGCTGCGTTTTATCTTTTTTTAAAAGTTTTATTCGGTTCCTGGGAGGTGATTCAAGAAAGATTGCCAGAAGCATGAACTGCCCGCAGTGCGGAAGACAGGGTTAATTATTGTTTCCCTATCTTTTCGCGTGATTTAGTAGTGCAGCTACGCTTACTCGTCACGTTAATAGGAACTTTTCCTAGATCACACGCAAGAGCATGCAAGCGTTTTGAGTTGCTTGGGGGAGTGGTCACTTTGAGGGCGGACTGAGCTCGCTCGCGCCCGCAATGCGTAGTGGACGTTCTACGATAAGTCCCTAAACTAATAGCTACGATGGTTCCCCGTGGCTATCGACAAAAGAAACCAAAATATGCAGTTCCCATTTTTAAACAACTTTAAATTTGAGAACCAAGCTCACTTTGTTTACCCGCCAAGTTCGTTCTCCGATGCAAGATAAAGCGAGTAAGCGGCAAAAGACTTGAGGTAAAATTAGGTAAAAAATCGCCCCTATTGCGTAGTGACTTAAACGCATATTTAAAAAAAAAATGGAAGGCTCTACATTATTTTTTCATATATTATTATTAAAATAATGTAGTTAACCCAAAACAGGTATAATTACTTTCCAAGGAACTCTAAAAATTAGGCACTAGAACATTCCTGGGTCGACGAATTGGCGTGTGTTGCCAATGTTAGATGTGTAAAATGAAAGCAACATAAAGGGGACCAGGACAGGACACCTCACAATGGTAACTAACAGGACACCTCACAATGGTAACTAACAGAAAATGTACGACTAAAATTCAAAATGAATTACATTTTTCGCAGAGAGAAGAAAGTATTAAAGATTTTTTTCTGACGCAGGGTGTTCTAGATAAATAGAGTATAACTGCGCCTAAAAAGCAAACAAAACAAAAATCATGTAAAAACTTCTTTATAGTCATCGGCAACTGTGTCCAAAGTGGTCATTCTGGCATCACTAAAGATAAAAAAGGGAGAGAACAATACAGGCGCAAAGGTGAGTCAATTGGCGATCACTCTTTTTACTCAGGAAAGTATGAGTGGGTTACTTACGCACGTCGTGCATTACGATTTAACCGCTTTGACGGCAGCGGTACACGTGCGCAAAAACAAGGTGTCGCGG